GGATTAAAACTTGAGGATGTCTCAGGCGAAACGCTTGTTTTTGAAATCCCGATCGATAAATCACAGGGTGCGGGACACCTCAGCACGACCACACCCCCAGCATGACCACACCCCAGCACGACCACGCTCAGCACGACCACGCCCCAGCACGACCACACCCCAGCACGACCACACCCCAGCACGACCACACCCCAGCACGACCACACCCCAGCACGACCACACCCCAGCACCAGCACGACCACACCCCAGCACGACCCGATCGATACATCACAGGGTGCGGACCACCCCAGCACGACCACACCCCAGCACGACCCCACCCCAGCACGACCCCACCCCAGCACGACCACGCCCCAGCACGACCACACCCCAGCACGACCACACCCCAGCACGACCACACCCCAGCACGACCCAACCCCAGCACGACCCCACCCTAGCACGACCACACCCCAGCACGACCACACCCCAGCACCCCGACCACGCCCAGAACGACCAGCCAGCACGACCACACCCCAGCACGACCACACCCCAGCACGACCACACCCCAGCACGACCACACCCCAGCACGACCACACCCCAGCACCACACGACCACACCCCAGCACGCCACTCGATAAAATTCACAGGGTTGCGGACACCCCAGCACGACCAAACACCAGCACGACCACACCGAAAAGTTTTCAAATCAGCAACGACACGCCCCAGCACAACCACACCCAGCACGCCACACCCCAGCACGACCACACCCCAGCACGACCCCACCCCAGCACGACCCCACCCTAGCAGACCACAACCCCGCACGAACCACACCCCCAGAACGACCACACCCAGCACGACCCCACCCAAGCACAACCCCACCCCAGCACGACCACACCCCAGCACGACCACACCCCAGCAGGACCCCACCCCAGCACGACCCCACCCCAGCAAGACCACACCCCAGCACGACCACACCCCAGCACGACCTCACCACAGCACGACCACACTCCAGCACGACCACGCCCCAGCACGACCACGCCCCAGCACGACCACGCCCCAGCACGACCACCCCCCAGCACGACCACCCCCCCAACACGACCACCCCCCAGCACGACCACCCCCCAGCACGACCACACCCCAGCACGACCACTCCCCAGCACGACCACACCGCCTTGGTTGAGTGGTTGCTGTCGTCGTGGAATGTTTCGTGGGGTGTCTCGTGGAATGTTTCGCGGGGTGTCTCGTGGAATGTTTCGTGAGGTGTCTCGTGGAATGTTTCGTGACGTGTCTCGTGGGATGTTTCGTGAAGTGTCTCGTGGGATGTTTCGTGAGGTGTTGCCCAGTTGGGTATCGTGAAAACGTGTCCATGCTCCACATGTCTATATCCATTTCCGGGTTCGTGGGTCCATCATGTTTCTTGCACATGCGGGCGAGGTAATCGGCATGAGCCTGCTTCTGCGCACGAGCGTGGTCCACGACTTCCTTGAACAACTTGTGCGCAAGCGTTTGAACCCCGTCTCTGCTCGATCTCCGCGAGGTCCTCAGCCGAAAGCTCCCACTCCTCCGACGAGGTGCTGAACTCCGTGAGGTCACATGATATGAGCGAAGCGAAATCCACCTGCCCTCCAACGAGATCAGCCAGAGCGATGGGTTTGAAACCGGGCGTCGGGGCTGGAACTGTAGACGGTACCACAGCAGCTTCCTGGTTGAGCTTGACCACCAACTGCTTGTACTCTGAATCGGCCTCCACCAGCAACTGCCTCGTCTCACGCAGTTTGCTCTCATGCTCGGACAACTCCTTACGAAGACGAAGAACTCGCGCCAGATCGACTTGGAGTTTCTTCTCGAGTTTCTTGGCCGAAGCGTGCGCCACGTTGACCTGATGATGAAGAGGCTGGTCCGCGGGCCCTCGCAACGCAGCCTTGAGATGTTTCGCGTAGTCCATGTACCGCTGAGCCGTGATGGTGTCACCAGCCTGAGACGACAGAGACGCCAACTGCTCCGCCTCTTCGACCGTGATGGTGGGCACTGGGCCCTTCGGGAGAGGCGGCAGGCCTCCCTCTGGGCTGGGCCCGCCGCCTCCGCCGCCCGACCCGCCAGAGGGACCACCGCCGCCTCCCGACGGGAACGGACCGCCCCCACCGCCTGCCCCCTTGCCGCCAATCCGCCCATTGCCCCCCCCCCAAGCCTCATCCTCCTTATCCTCCTCGTTCCCCCTCATCCTCCTCATCCTCCTCATCCTCCTCCTCCTGGCTAGAGCCAGCCTGGCTCGAGGAGCCCGTCCCTGCGCCACCTGTGCGCTACCGCCTTCGCGCACGAAGGCCTGCGGCCGCAGGCAGCTGCTCAGGAATGGCAGCACCTCGGAAGTTGCAGTCGCAGTGTTAGGGGAACACAGAATGACATAAACACAAAAAAACTCGGAGGTCCGCGCGGATCCGGCGGCGCCGGAGGCGCCGCCAGGGGGGTCCAGCGCGCATCCGAGAGAACCGCGCGGACCTCCGAAATGTCGTGTTTATGTCATTATT